ATTTTTTGTATTTTCTTTATTTAATTTTTTTTTTTGTTTCTTAATAATCAAAGTTTAATCTCTCAAAATTCTTCAACTACAACTTTGAAGTATTTTTTTTTGTGATATACTGGTAATGGACTTTGTAAGTGTCTAACAAGGCTTTAAGGTTAATATTATGTACCAGCCGCAACCTACACTAATGGATGAAAAATAAAAACTTGTCTTGGTTAGGTGCTATTCATGTGAAAATTGGAATTTATTTTCTACACGAAAAAAGACGCCAATGAAATGGAAATTTTCGTACAAAAGCAATACCTACCACGGTTTTCCCAATTTTTTTGTTTACAATAATCTATAATTGCGGTAGCTTTCAGATTTAGTAAATAGTAAAATGACTTTTCGTTTGTAAAAATTTAAAAACCGTACTACTCATCTATTGCTAATCATGTCTATGGATACCTTATCTATAATCTTAGACAAGTATTTTTTTATAAGATAAGCGTCAGATTTTGATAAAAGATATTTCATTTTTATCCTTTTCCTTAGTCTTCATTATACTTGCCGTAACTTTAATTTCTATTATAAATTATTGTCAGAAAAGTGATTGGTAAAGCTATGGTAGGTATTCTTTTTGTATAGTAGTGTCCATTTTTTTCAAAGTCGATTTCAGGGTAGTAAAAAATTTTGAATATTGTCAAAAATTACACTTTACAGTAACAAGTTTTTTATTTCCATCTATTAATTCAGGTTCAGGCTTGTTAATATTATTGATCACATCCTAATACGCAGATAAATCAACGCATGCAGTCAATAAAAACTCTAAAAGTATTTTTTTCCCAAAAACTAATCGAAAAAAACACTTATTTGCCTCTCTGAGAAAACGCGAATGTCTGCTATTATTTGAATCTTTAGTAATTTTTTTTTTTTAGAGTCAGCATATTACTATATTTAATTACGAAAAACATAATAAAAATCTTTAATTTTAAGGTACGAAAATTAAGTGTGAGCTTCAACAGTTTTTTTAGTTATATTATTATCATTTGAATTTATAAAAAATAACTGCAACATTAGTAAAATTAGAAGAAAAAAAATTGCTGAAAACTAGACGTAAACTAGATCCATTGGAATCGAAAACCAAGTATCTTCCTGACTTGATCAAAGAGAATAATATACTTGGCTTACAATTCATGTCTATATTAAGTACATGTCACAAGTACCTAGTTTTTTTTTTAACTTCAACTTTAACTACTCTCACTAAGTTTAAAAACTTTTGTCTTTTGAAAATAATGTTTCTTGTTTTTATCTTACTCTTAAGTGTATAATTTATAATATTTTTTTTTTAATTTAGTTTGATTCAATTAAATATTTTGAAGCAACAGTTTGTTAGCAAATTATTAAATAAATACACACAAGTAAATCAAATTATTTATATTAACATGATAGTTCCTAATAATTAACAGAAAGAAGTACACAGTACTTATACTGTGTCTGGAGGCTATAAAACAACAATTCTAGAGTGAGACAGTAGAATACTCAAAGAAAACTAAAAAAAAACTTTATTGAGTGTTCATAAGAATTCTCTTCCACTTTTTTTTAACAATATAAATTTATAAGATAAATACACATAAACACGATGAAAAATTCAAGTTTTATAGAAATATATTAAAAATACTGTAGAATCCTATTGTCAGTGTTGTTATTTGTATAATATCACCTTTCAAGGTTCTTTCACCGCTGAATAATCCTATTTTAAGTTTTTTTTATCATCAATTTTAAAGATAATTTCTTTATAACAAAAACAGGCATAAGGACTTATGGAATATCTTGTACAAATTTTTGTCAGTTTTTGGTTGATAATTAATTATAAGTTCATATGTAAGTTTTTTTATAGGAATTATAACAGTTCTTATAAATAATTTTTAGCTATCATAGTGAGCTATTCAAGTTCACTTACCTTGAAAAAAAAAATTATTTTGACGGAAATGCACTTTTTTCTACCATCAAACGTAGAGTTAAGTGTCAAATAACATTAATTATAGTTCAGCTTACGAATAATACCTCATAACATAAGAACTCTATAAGTATTCTTTTTACTCAAAAGTTTACTATTACTTTTATTCAACAGCATTAGGCAAGATGACTTAAAAAATACTAAAAGAAATTTTTATTTATCTTTATAAGAATTCTTTTCGGCTTCTGTTTAAGTAATACGAAAATTTTTAAAGATTTTTTCTTATACAAACATGTGCGTACTTTTAAAGAGCTCATTTATACCAAAAATTTGCGTATAGAGATAGCACTTCTTCAATACTAACAAAACCTTTCACCATAATAAAATATGACGAAAATACTTTAGATATTCACGAGGTTTCTTTAGTTTTCTTTATTTCTGTAAGAGTAGTGGCTGTTAATATTTTTTGACTACCTGTGGGCCTAAGAGTAGATAAACTAGGCCGATACCAGCATAAGTCCCCCTCCTGCTTACGTGGGTGACCGTTAGCGGACAGCCGCTACTCTACACGAAGCGCTAGGGGTTGTGCACAGCT